ACTCATGTATTGATGGACACTTGGGTTGTTTCCACATCTTTGCAATTGTGAATTGTGCTGCTATATAAGGAATTTTGACTGAAAAAAGAAAAAAGAACAAAGAACTTGTTGAATGTATGTCTTTTTCTCAGTGAAAATGAACATGGCTGTTTAATTTCACATAGTGTAAAACTCTAAATATTTATGTAGTTCTTAAGTTCTATGAAGAAATTCATTTGAAACAAATGTAGAAAATGACCCCCCCAAAATTAAATATGAATATTATGTTAGGGAAAGGAAATAGATCATGATAATTAATCCTTTGTGTGCCCTCCAAAAGTGCAGTATGTAATTTTTAAAATTATTTTTGGATAATCTAGAATTTTCTTTCTGATCATCTTTTTACCTTTCAAAAATACAGATCTCTGAATCATTTATCATTGACATTTTGGTTAAAATATTTCCTATTTTCTTCAAATTATATAACATACATATCTCTAAGTGACAATTATCATAGGAACAAATCCCTTTTGCTCATTAAAATGCCTAATGTGCCTTGTACACAGTAAGCACTAAATAATATGGGTCACACTGAATTATCCCACTTTCTGTTCCGACATTAATATGTCTCTTGGATTCACACTAGAGAGGTGGTGTCTCACACATGGGAACTAATGAGCTACATCTGTAACCAAAAATATCCATGGAAAACCTGCTGAATTGATCCATATCTGTTTTGTTAATCAAGTCCACTACGGAAGGGCTTTCTTGTGGTCGTACTATATTCTGGAGATAAATAGAGCAGGGAAACCACAGTTCAATTTAGAAGTTGTTTGAAACTTTGAAGAACATGGGGTTTTATATTATATGACAGCAATAAAGTCCAATCCTTGATGGCCATAATTCTGAGTATATAAGTATATAAATATCCTGTATGTATAATTTTACTGCAGAACATTATGACTGCAGCCAAGAAGACCCTAACTGTTCAATATGGAATTTACTTCTTACTGCCACTCTCCTCCTTCCTCGATTTTTTTTCAAATAAAAAGACTTTTTAAAAATAAAATGAAATAAAAAATTTAAAACTAGCTTGGTATGAACAGCCGTTCTCTGAAGCAGATGGCTGGAAGTCAGAAGCACCAGATTCTATCCTGGATTCTCCTACCAACTTGGAATGTGGCCTTGGGCAAGTCATGAGAGTAAATCTACAATAAAAGAGGTAATAATGCGTTACATGTGTATGGTGCTTTATGATCTAACAGAGCACTTTCACATACAATATCTTATTTAATCTTCCCCACAGCTTCCTGAGAGAAGTATGGCAGTTATTAACAATCCCATTATAAAAAGAAGGAATTTGAGACTCAGAGAAACTAAATTGCTTTTTCATAGTCATGTCTATATCAAATGTCAGAGCCAGAACAGACATATTCTAAGATTCTGGGCTGGTCTTTGTCTTCCCTCTACCCCACATTGCACCCTCTGGCACCCCCAATTGCGTCAAAGCAGGAGTGACTACAGCTGCACTGTTCAATATGGTAGCCACTGACCACATAGAGTTATTGAGCATTTGAAATGTGGCCAGTCCCAATTGAGATGTGCTGTGAGGGTAAAATACACATTAAATTTCTAAGACTTGGAATGAAAAAAAGAAA